TGGGGAGCGGGCCTGTGCAGAGGGGCACCCGTGCAGGGGCTGAGTACCAAAGGAGCGCCGTCCGCAGTAGCAGCAGCAGCGGGCTTTGGGCTGTGGGACCCTGGGGGGTGCAGAGGGGCTCTGAGTGGGGGTGGTGGGAGTGGACGTTATTGCAGTCACCCTGTGTGGGAACGGGACCTGGCTGCTGGGCTCTGGAGGGGTGGCCTGGGGGCGAGCATTGTGTGAGGCCCAGCAGGGCAGGTCGCCAGCAGGAGGGGGCACGAATGGGGGGCCTCGTGGGCAGTACTGCTGGGGGAGTGGGCGGCACCGGAGGGCTCTGGGTAGAAGGGAGTGAGGTGGGGAGGGAATGGGGAGAGAGCTGGGCCCATGCAGGGGGAGGAGGGGAGGAGTTCGTGGAGTGTGCAGGGAAGAGAAATGGGAAGGGAGAGAAGAGATTGCAGGATAGCTGCTGAGGATTGGGGGGTGGGGATCTGGGCAGCGTGGAGAGGACGCAGGGAATGCAAATGAGATGCAGCCACTGGTGTAAGGGAGCCCAATAGGAGTTCGAGGAAGAGACTTGAGGATGCTTTCAGGAATGAGAGGGCCAAGGGGTATGAAGGGAACTTGCGGGTGTGAAAGGGGCACAGTGGGGTTACAGTGGGTCGAGAAGGAGAGACGAGGGATGAGGCCAGGGGCAGGGTAAGAGGTGGGCATTGGAGGGGTGAAGAGGTCACAGAAGCCTACAGAGGACTTTGGGTGGGATGCTGAGGACGTGGTGAGACTTGGGGAGGTGCTGTGAAGGCAGCACCTTGGGAAGTGGGGAGGTGGTCCCATGGGGTATGAGGAGGGCTTGCAGGAGTGAGGGCTCGTGGAGGTGGGTCAGGGCCATGAGGGGCTTTCCAAGGACTTGGAGGAGCCAGGATGGAGGTGCAGAGAGAAGGTGCCCACGAGAGTGGGGGACAGGAAGTAGAGCTCTAGGAAGCTGTGGGGGCCACACAGCAGTTTGGAAGTTTGAGGGCAATGTGACAGGATGAAAAGGCACGGTGCCATCAGGGGTTAGGTGAGAGAAGCAGAGGGGTGGGGGAGAAGAGCAGGCAGGCTCAGCGTGGGTCGCTTGTGGGGGAGGGCAGAAGGGGCGCTGGAGTGTTTGGACATGATCGGGGTGTATGGGTTACCTGTGGTTAAAAGATTCAGCTGCTAAACCAGAGGTCATTGCTTCAAACCCATCAGCTCCTCCATAGAAGAAAGATATGGCAGTCAGCTTCACTAAAGATTGACAGCCTTGGAGACCCTGTGGGGCAGTTCCACTCTGTCCTCTAGGGCCGCTGTGAGTCAGAATCAGTTTGATGGTAGTGAGTATGGTTTGGGCTTTGCTTCTGTGTAGACTGGGAGCTCTGGTAGTATAGTGCCTAAGGCATCTGACTGCTAACCACAAGGCTTGTGGTTCAAACCCACCAGCCACTCCTCAGAAGGAAGATTGGGTAATCTACTTCCGTAGTGATGCCGCCTCAGAAGCCCAAGGAGGGGTTGCTATGAGTCAGGTTTGGGTTTTTTGTTTCTTTTTTTGGTTTTCTGTAAAGATTGACAGCCTTGGAAACCCTGTGAGGCAGCTCTGACTCTATCCTTCAGGGCACTGTTGAGTTGGAATAAATTTGACGACAGTGGGTTTTTTTCTCCCCCCTCATGGCAAGTTTGAATTTCAGCCTCGACACTTTTCTACCTGGTGTAAT